GAGCAAACACCACCACAGACAGGGGAACAACTAGGGAATTAAAATCAACAAGGAGGACGTAGAGAGCCTGAGGGTGTTGGCGTAACAGCAATCTGACAGGAATTATTAAAAGGCCAAAGTAAGGGGAGCATGATGGTGGGGCAGGAGGAAGGTAAAAGGAAACAGAGGAACGCTCTAGGTAGCAAAGCTATGGCTAGAGGTATACGCATAGGTGTGTACATATGTAAACACATTAATTCATAAAAATAGAGGTATTGGCCTATTTACATATATTTATATGGCATTACGCTGAGGTACTGGACAGATTCAGGCCTCTACTCATACCCTCCCTCAATGCAAGAACACTTTGTTCTAACAAACAGGCATTCTGTGATGCTCACCCTCCTGGCACAATCGCTGAAGAAAAAATGGGTGCATAAGCAAATATGGGGGAAAAAGCTGATGGTGCCCGGCTATCAAAAGATAGAGCATCTGGGGTCTTAAAGGTTTGAAGTTAAACAAGCAGCCATCTAGCTGAGATATGTTCTCTCGTGTATCCCTAAATAAATCTCCATCAGTGAAGGTAATCTGTGTACTTCTCCTTACAACCGAAATGGACATCATGAAAACTCACCAAGAAGTTGTAATCATTAGAAAAACAAAAACAAGATACGTGAGCATAAGAACGGACTCTCCCAGGCCCACCAACCAAGCCCACGGAGTACTATTCTTTTCTATGTTTGTATGTGGAAGTCAGGCTCCCTGATGCCACAGTGTTATAACTATCAATTTAACCTGTGAGGAATAGATTCCAATTCAGATAGGAATTCTCAGATTTCAGACTGGGTTTCCCTCATTATTATTTTCCAGTATCTTTGAAAGCCGCATTTCTCATTTTATTTTCACCACAGACTCTGGTCCCACTGTGCTATGGTTTCCAAGTGACAGCTCCACTAGCCCCCTTTCTTTGGGCAGATTTCTTCAGAGGTCCTGACCAGACACGGACACTCTGTCTATTCTTAGAGCAGCATGTCTAAAGAGGTATTTCTTTTACCTTCGACTGGTTAAAGGACAACACTCGGAGGCAGAGGTTGCATACAACATAAAAGAAAATCCTCTGGGGTTTCAGAGCCTTCTTTCAAGAGTGGCCAGAGGAATGTGATCTCCATAGCTCACCGTCTTGCAGACATAACACACAGTACAGCTCAGCTACTCATGTTTTACATCTTATCCAGATTTGCAGGAACAATCACTGACTTGTTGGAAAACACCCAAAACCAAGGAGCGACAGCACAGGTGAGAGGGCAAGCCGACCCAAGACGAAAACCAGCAGAAAAGCTTTCCAGAGCCAATTTCAAAGAATACCGTTATCATCACTTAAAGATAAACCAAACCCGCCTTTCCCCACCCACCACATCATTTGAGGTATGAACACACCTCACGGTGTGAACTTGAGAGTGGAAAGTATACCATTCACATGTATGTATGTATGTATGTATGTATGTATAAATAAAAGTGCTTCTTGTTGGGTAGGGCCAGTTTCAATGACATCCCTCCACAGGTTAATACTAAACACTTAAATTTAAAAGGCCATCAACTGAGGTCACTAGATAAAGCAATGTAGAATACAGTTCATAAAGGAGAATTCAAAGTATTGTAGAAATTATAGCTAGATGAGATGTCAAAATATTATCTGGGGAGGTCACAGACAAGGCAATGAAATAGGCTTTGCAGAATGCAGTTCACAAGGGAGAATTAAAAGAATTGTAGAAATCATAGCTAGACAATATCTCAAATTAGTATCTGGAGAGGCCTCCAGCAACATTGGGCAGTTCAGTGACCTGAAGTGGTAAATAAGTGACCAAACCAGACTTTACTCTGTCACTTGAGAATTTGAAGAAATTGGGTTTTTGTTTTTGTTTTTTTAACCCTCTGAGCCTCAGTTTCCTCATTTATAAAATAAAGGTTGTAGTAGTACCTATCTCATAGAACTGCTTTAGTGGTCTGTTATAACATATACTTGTACTACTATTGTTGTTATTAGGATTTAAGGCTTTAAGCTCCAGTGGTATAGTAGTTAAAATACTTGGCTACTAACCAAAAGGTTGGTGTGGTGGTTCCAACCCACCAGCTGCTCTGTGGAAGAAAGACAGGCAGTCTGCTTGTGTAAAGCCTGGGAAACTATTTGGGGGCAGTTCTAGCCTGTCTTTTAGGGTCGCTGTGAGTCAAAATGGACTCAATGATCTCTTTTTATGGCTTTATCATACCAGCCTCAAAGCCGAGATAACTAAGGCCCAGACAAAATGGGGAATTCTCCCAAAGTTCTAACTAGGACCATGAAGTTCTTCTTCTAGGGTCCTACTCTTTTCATTTCACTTTACCTCTCCTTTGAATCTGTACAAAACTGAGCACCCAAGACAAGGATTTTCACAAAATAAATCAGAGTCGAAATAAGAAGCTTCTATCATGCAGATCTTGCGGACCAAATACTACTTACCGTTCCACCATATATCTTCATCTCTTAGGTCTTTTATGTTATTAGCCTTTTTTTTTTTTAGATTCACAAAATGACTGGACCTCAAGTCAATCTGGTTTCTAGAGTTACAGGAGTATCAAGTACATGTCACTCACGTACATTGTGTCATTTTTCATTTCCTGGAGATAAGAAACAGCTCACTTGGCAACTAGATTTCTATCAGCTCTGTGGAAAGATCTTAAGATTGATAGATGTGATGTCCAATGGCATTTTAAAGCTGCCATAAGACTTATTCTTGGCTTTTTGGGTTCAGTATCAGTTGCACCGCCTGGTGGAGTGCCCTCTTGCTACACACATAGTCTACAGTTCTCATGGCATAATGCAGGGCTTTATCAAAAAGAATAAAAAACAAAGGGTGAAAACAGGCAAAAGTCATCACTAACAAAATAAGAATAAGAATAAATCATAAACAGTAACTTACAAATGTAGATTCAACAGGAGAGTCAACAGATATTTACCAAAAATGTATTGCTGTCTATTAAGTGTGGTGGCAGGCACTGGGAATATGATGATGAAGAAACAATGGCTACCCTGAAGGACTACTGTACTAGGGAAGAAACATATTAAGGAGGTTGGGGAGGGAAAGGATTTAAATTGGAAAAAGAAAAAAGCCAAGAAGAAGCATTGCCCCCAGAAGAGTCATATTTCACTTGGCAAGGAGCCACAAGAGTGCTGGTATGGATTAAATGGCCTAGAAATTTAACCTCTAGGCTTGTCAGTTCTGTAAAAGCAAGCAAGGCTATTCAATCTCAGTCTTTATTCCCTGCCCACCTCATTTGCTACAGCCCACACACACCATGAGAACAAGCAAGATTCCTTGCTCTACTTCGTCTTCTTTAGAATACAGTGGGGGAAAGGCCCAGCTGTGCTCCCACAAATCCCATTTTCCCTATGAATTAGAAAGTCGGGTCTGTAAGAAACCGAGATTTTATTTACAAGACCTAGAGATCAGAAAAAGGGGTAGGGAGAGCAAGAAATTCCAAACAGCAACTCAAGTGGAAGCCGTTAGAACAGTCATCTGATCTCCAGGAGACTCTGAGGAATACCAAGGAAAAGTCTATTTTCAAGGAGGATAGCTTGGAGTTCATGATTCATTTTAAATTGAATCCTGTATGAGGTTACCCTTCCTTTCTCATAATAGCCCTAATGAACCAGCACAAAAGGAGAATCCAAATGACTATATCGTGCTGCAAGTTAAAAAAAGCTTTGTATTTCTTCAGCAAAGCCTTTGAAGAAGACTCAAGGTGTTTTTAGAGAGACAATATCATTCAGTCTAAAAATAGTTGTATGTATTTTTGGTATTTTAAAAGTACTACAGCACCCCCAATAAAATAATTTTTAAAAATCCTACAACAATAATCATTTTTACTTTCTTACCCCAAAAATGTGCTTTGCAAAGAAATATGAGCCTCCAGAGAATAGCTAGGAAAGATGTTCTACCTCTAAAATGATTCTTAAATGATTAAGACAACCTGTAGACAGAAGGTTGCAGAGGAAACCATTTCTATGAGAGAAACGAACCACGAACAACACAGATGAAAACAACACCTACTAAAGGAAGCCAGGGAGAGTATTCTGAGTAAGTGCAAGCTGCACACTATCAGAGGGATGCAAAGCGAGAGATCTACTAGATCAAGGAAGCAGTTGCTGAGCTACTGCAGTCCTAACCATTCATGTGGCAGATGGCTGGACAGAACTAGCTGCATCACAGGCATGTTCCAAAACATGTCTGCGCAGCCCTCAGCCAAGCCACCCAAACTATTCCTTCACTGCCATCATCCAACCAGCATTGCCCCACTCTCGTCATCACCCACCCCCCTGCTTCCAAGTCCCTCGTCTGGGCTCGCCCCATTGGTAAAGCATTCGAGTACTTACTATTCAGTGAAGAACCTGGCAATGCCGTATTGGCTTATATCTTCCTTGTTCTCTAGCAGCTGGCACACGGCATCCTCCATGTATGTGAGGACATGTTGCTGAGCTACAAGCAAGAGGGAAAGAAAGTGAGAGAGGGAAAAACACTAAAGTTCTAATCTCAAGAGGAAATCAATCGAGGTGTTGACACATCATTAGGAAGTGGGTACAGCAAGGACAAACCAACCTTTGTGGCCTGAGTTATGGTTTCAACAGATAGAATAGGAGATGGGGTAGAATGTGATTTACTTCTGACTGACTGCTAGTTTCAGCACCAACCCTTCATTCTTCATCTAGGTCTTAGGCTCTCAAATTTGGCTGATCACTGGAACTGCCTGGGGAGCTCGAGCAACTACAGATCCCCAAACTCCACATGCAGCCTAATGAATCAGAATCTCTGCGGGGAGGAGCCCAGGGACCTGTGGGTTCACCAGACTCTCAAGTGATTCCAATGATTCCCCAAATTTGGGAACTAGGATCTAGGTCACAAGTTCCCAAACTTACCTGACCTTCCACCCCCTTTTCAGGAAAAAAAAAATACTCAGCGCCCCCATTGGCAGTTACAACTTTTGTATGATAGCCTATAATCCAGAACAAAATATAAGCACCTGCCTTTGCAGCAGGAACTACTGCTATGTGTGATTAAAGCAGACTCAAGAGAAGCTCTGGCACCATTTAACATCTACACCTGGAAGGTTTCTCCTCATGATCCTGCCACTCTCCTGCACATCTCAGAAGTGGATCTCAGGGAGTCTGGGACTCCACACCTGAACTGTAGATGATGTGGTTGTAAAGAAAGGTGTTCTTTAAAAAGAAATTTTTTTTGACTGATAAAGTCAATGGATAAAGTAAGGACTTTCAATGTTGGTATACACAGAGTTATTAACCTTAAATAAATAGGGTAATAAGACCATGAAATATGTGTAACTCAATTTATGAGCAATCATGTTTTCTATATTGATTACGACTGGCATGTGGGATCTTAAAGGCTTGAAGTTAAACAAGCAGCCATGTATCAGGGAAGCAACAAAGCCCATATGGAAGAAGCACACCAACCCGTGTGATCACGAGGTGTCGACAGGATCAGGTATCAGGCATCAGAAGACCCCAAACAAACAACCATTTTAATGCAGATGAGGGGAGTCGGAATGGAGACCCAAAGCCCATCTTTAGACAATTGGACATTCCCTCACAGAAGGGTCACATGAAGGGATGAGCCAGCCAAGGTGTAGTATAGCACCAAAGAAACACATCATTCCTCTAGTTCTTTAATGCTTCTGCCCATCCCCCCAACACCACCATCATGACCCCAGTTCTATCTTACAAATCTGCCTAGACCAGAGCATGTACACAAGTACAGATAAGAGCTCTCAACACACAATACAGGGCAGATAAACCCCTCAGGACCAATAATGAGAGTAGGGTGTACCATTAGGGTAGAGGAAAGGTGGGGGTAACCGATCACAACAATCGACGTACAAATCCAGCTCCACCCCACCCTCAGGACGAACAACAGAAATGTGGGTGAAGGGAGACAGTGGATGGTGTAAAATATGAAAATTAAAATAATTTATAAATTATCAAGGGTTCACGAGGGTGGGAGGGAGAAAAGAGGATCTGATACCAAGGGGCTCAAGTAGAAAATGTTTTGGAAATGACGGCAATATATGTACAAATATGCTTGACACAACTGATGTATGGAATTCTATAAGAGCTGTAAGAGCCACCAATAAAATGATTTATTAAAATAAATAAATAAGAAACTAAAAAACAAAGAAATCCGTCTTGGAAGAAGTACAAACAGAATACTCCTTAGCGTCTGGGATGGCAAGACTTTTTCTCACTTACTTTGGACATGTTATCAAGAGAGACCAGGCCCTGCAGAATGATATCATGCTGTGTCTACTTAAGGGGCAGCAAGAGAGAGGAAGGCTATTGACAAGCTGGATTAACACAGAGGCAGCAATACCATAAAAATTTGGGGGATGTGCATAGGGTTGCTATGATTCAGAACTGACCTGATAGCACTTAACAACAATAGCAACATATGCTGACGTTAACAAAAAATAAATACTGATTATGCCAGATCCAAAAAATAAAATAACCAGCCACTTGATCACTATCACCTGGAGTTGTTCAATTAGATTTCTAGGCCCATCCCAGACTGAGTAACCTCAAGTTCTAACTGGGGGGTCTTTAAACAAGCAACCAGCCTAGGTGCTTCTTATGCACTGTGGTTCAAGAACTACTGGTTAAGAACTTGAGTTCTGGAGTGCCCACAGACTTGAATTCTAGTCTCAGTCCTACCACCACTTTCTAGCTGTGTGACCTTAGGCAAATTACTCCGCAGGTCTGTTTGTTCATTATAAAATGGGGATACGCCCCTTGCAGAGGGGTCTCGGGGAGGAGATGAGCCAGTCAGGGTGCGATGTAACAATGATGAGAAATACAACCTTCCTCTAGTTCCTAAAGGTTTCCTCCCCGCTCCCACTACCATGACTCGAATTCTATCTTGCAAGACTGGCTGGACCAGAGGAGGTACACTGGTACAGATAGGAACTGAAAATACAGGGAATCCAGGATGGATGAACCCTATAGGACCAGTGGTGTGGGTGGCAAAACAGGGAGGGTGGAGGGAGAGTAGGTAGGAAGGAGGGAGCCAATTGCATGGAACTGTGTGTGGCCTCCTCCCTGGGGGACGGACAGCCGAAAGGTGGATGAAGGGAGAAGTCGGACAGGGCAAGATATGACAAAATACCCATTTATAAACTATCAAGGGCTCATGTGGGAGGGGGGAGCGGGGAGGGAGGGGAAAAATGAGGACCTAATGTCGGGGGTTTAAATGGAGAGAAAATGTTTTGAGAAACGATGTACAAATGTGCTTTACACAATTGATGTGTGTATGGATTGGGATAACAGTTGTATGAGCCCGTAATAAAATGTTTAAAATAAATAAAAAATAAAATGGGGATACGACTGTGTGGTGGTGTTGGGTACTGTCGAGTTGGTTCCGACACAGAGACCCTATGTACAACAGAATGAAGCACTGCCTAGTTGTGCAGCATCTTCACAATTGTATGTTTGAGCCCACAGTGCTAGCTAGCCACTGTGTATTTTCATGCCTTCCAACCAGAAAGGCTATCTCCCAGCACTATATCTGACAGTGCCCTGCTGCTGTTTACAGGGTCACCGTGGCCAGAGTTTGCAGAAGTAGATCACCAGGTCCTTCTTTCTAGTGTCTTAGACTGGAAGCTCCACTGATATATTTCCTGCGGGCATTTGAAATACCAGTATGGCATAGCTTCTAGCACCACAGCAACCAACCCGCACAACAAACTGACAGAAGGGTTTCAGAAAAAACTCATTGGCATCAAGTTGATTCCGACTCAGTGTGCCCCTTTGGGTTTCTTAGACAGCAAATCTGTCTGGGAGCAGAAACCTTCACCCTACTCCCGCAAAGCAGATGGTGGGTTTGAACTGCTGGACCTTGCAGCTCAACACCAGTGGGGCTCCTTGAGAGATGGGCAGTGTCTACATATAGGATTGTGAGAATTAAATTAGATGGTGCATATAAAATACTAAAGTGCCTGGCACATTGTACATGCTTGATAATTAGTTTTCTTAAAAGTCTATCTCAAAGGATTGGTGGTGGCATTAAATGACGTGTAACCTCAGTAAAGGGCGCAAGCCAGAGCTGCTTCTACAGCAGGTGGTCAACAAATGCTTGTGCCCCTGGCCTGAGTTTCATCTTTAGATATGAAAATTATATCCTCGCACGATTCACACAGAAGCATCCAACTCAGTGTTTCAATCTGCCATCCACGATAAATCTGGAAATAACTATCTTCTGTAGCAGTAAGCAAGATCAAGAAAACCCAGAGTGATAAATATCTTGCCAAAAATCAATTCCATGAAGTGGCTGCCAAGGGTGTCATTTGCCTCTTGATCATAGTTTTCAGCCCTCAAGAAAAGATGAGAGAGCTACCTACACTTTATGAGAATGGGTGCTTCACCAGCTGTTCCTCAAGCCCTGGTAGCTAGTGAAGTTGTAAGGCAAATTAGCTTAACGTAAGCCCAGTCTCCTTTTGACGATGGCCAGCTAAGGTTTCACATTTGCTCCAGCCTACTCCTGTAAAGTTACAGTCTCGAAAACCTCCAGGCAATTCTACCCTGTCCCATAGGGGTCGCTATGAGTTGGCATCGACTTGATGGCAGTGAGAGTGAGTAGCCCAGATGGAGCCTTAAGGGCACGGTTGGGCTGCTAACCACCAGTCAGCCATTCAACTCGACCTGCCCCTTCAGGGGAGTATGATGAGGTAGCCTGCTCCTGTAAAGATGGACAGCCCCTGAGAGCCCGTGGAGCAGTTCTGCTCTGTCTCATAGGGCTGCTGTGCTTGGGAACAGACCCCATGGCAGTGGGTTGGAGTTTCTGGTTAGAGCCCAGATGAATGACATGCCTCTATGCTGTTAATTCCATATATAAAATGCATATAAAAACGATAAATGTATTGTTTGTATGAGTGGGTCCCCAAACTAACATCAACTAGCCACTGCCAACATTCCCCAACCACTCAAAATGATGTGACAATAAAATCAGTGCTTCACTAATGGAAATTGTTTCCCTGAGAAATAGCCACAACTGAGAGTGAATGTGACATTGTTTTCAAAATAGCATTCATAATTAACTACATATTACATTGGGAAGGAAAATGGCCAGACTACCATTTAGATCTTCTTTTCAGCTCTATAGTCTCCTTCACTTCTACCCCAAAAGCCCTGGCCGCACAATAGTTAAGTGCTTAGCTGCCAACCCAAAGGCTGGGGGTTCAAACCTACCGGCCATTCTAGTAGGAGGACAATGTTGCGGTCTGCTTCTACTCTGTCTTACTGGGTCACTAGGAGGTGGAATCCACAGGTTTCTTGTACTCACTTACCTTCCTTGGGCTATGTGGACTTTTCTGACTTAGGACTACTTAAGGTCAGTACAGGGTTGCTTTCTTGCTGTTGTTGGTGGAAATGAAAGAGCTCCACTTAGAAGAAAATGCAGTTGCTTTTTGTTCCTAGCCC